AAAACAAAGAGTCACCGCAAGTCTCAGCGTGTCGGAAAACCTTAGCGTTACTCTTTGATCCCGTACCCACTGGTGCACCAGTGGGTACGGGATCAGAGAATATCTAACAATCACAATCCATACCAATTGACATACTTAAGTCCAACTCACTCAGCCACGAATAGTCGTTTGAGTGACCCCACGCCGTATGTTGCTTCACATGCCTCTAAAGAGATTCAATTCTGGCATGCTTATTAACCATTATGTTGGCTGTTATTATGCAAATATTGGTCGTGAAACTCTCACCTACCACTGAGTTCTGCGTACTCACAAGTGCTCACGAGGTTTTGAAACACCCTTTATCATCTCGCCCTCACCCAAAGGTGCCGAATTTAATAGAGTTTCACCCGTTTAACCCGAGCTGGTGTAAAACCCCATGAAAAACGCGATATTCACACTATGCAGTAGCCGTGAAATATGTTTTTCACTAGTGTTTTTCATATCACAGGTGAAACTCCTATATACAAATACGATCTTTATCGCCTCGCTATAAAAATTCAAAACGATAGCCCCTATTTGTAGCTATATGTATTTACGGGGTACATTGGAGTTTCACCCGTTTTACGTGAAGTGGCGTAATACTCTGTGAAAAACGCGATACGAAGTAGTCGTGAAATATATTTTTCACTAGTGTTTTTCAACTCCATTGAATTCACCTTCCGAGTGTCTGCTAAGTTATGGCGGTTTTCATGGTGGCAGATATTGAGACTTTTTTGGAGGGCAAGTATCACGTAGCCAGGGATAAGCATCGTGAGGGTATAGAACTCCTGAAGCGAGAATTCGGCTACCATCCAGCTTACCGTAAAGGCTTGAAACCGGTATAGAATATACCATTTTGGAGTGTGGTGAGAGTTGCATTCAGGGACGTGAGTTCACTGCCACATACTTCACGCCAAAACGAGATCCCATGAGTAAAGCATGATCTAAGCGTGTTGTTCAAACTGTTACACAATTGGTGTTGCGTTAGTTTTATTTAGTCTGGTGTCGCCTCTATCGATTGTCCCCTCTACGCTCAGGTTGATGACTAAAAAGTGGTGCCGAACATCCGAAATCGGAAGCCATAATTCTCAATGGCCAAAAGTGACATTCTGAGCTTCACACTACTGTCAGCGGCTCGCCCAACAACAATTTTATCATGACATCTCCAATTCTCATGAGGTATATCAGCAAGTACATCGCGGCAGAACAATTTTCACACAAAACAGATATCCGTCCCTCAGTTCGAGCGTGTATGAAAACTCAAAACTGTTTCATTCGAGACAAGATCAGTAGTTAAGTCATCGACCTCCTCATTGTCTACTGTACACCAACATTTCCTTCTTAATAAGGTGTAGCTCGGTTACCCGAACTACCACGATCGGCTAAGAGAGTCACCAAAATTACCCCCACACAGATGGGCATCTTCCTACCATTTGCTTTCACCTGACTAACAGGTATTCCCAACGCTTGCGCTGCAGCTTCCTCCTCTCCCTTCTTTATCTGATGAAGCGTTGAGGAAATGCAAGTGATAGCAAGATAGCAAGATTACTTGGACTTTCAATCTCCGTCCGGTGCTGGTCAGAAAACCGTCCATTGTCTCGACGGCTTTCATAGCGCTCCGTACTTCTCGGAAGGAAACGAAACCATAGCCTTTAGACTGATTCGTTTGAGAGTCAATAATGACCCTGTTCGCAAAATGAAAAATCCACAGCGGAGCGATGCTGATTTTCTCACCTCGTTGTGCTAAGCGGTCCGCATGAACCGAACTCTCTCACTAAATCATTGTCAGTCCATTCAGGTGGTATATTGTAGACAAATACGTTGGCTAAAATAAGCATCGTCTGTGATAAACTAAGCCCTTTCTAGAAACCCGCCAACTGTGTGGCCATTTCTTGTCCAGTTTCAAGTACGCATTTTTAAGGAATCTCAATGGAGAATAAATTACATTCAAACTCGTGGTGACGAAAGAAAAAAGCGCGCGCCCAGTTAGCGTACTATAATTTCACTGACATTGAAAGATGATACATATAGACGAGCAATTGCGATGCTGAGAAAAGGTAAATTAATACACAAATATTTTCAGTCAACAAAGATGCGAGTGGCAACGACACCCTATTCCGTGTGTAATCTACTCTAGAATAGATAGCATGGCATCTAATGTACAACGTGAAACACTTCGCTCCGCTGTACTCCAGCCGAGACGTATGCCAGCATAAAATCTATGAGATTTCGAAACACCTTTCTGACGTATTGAATCCAATATCTACTAACTCTACCGACAAGGCATAACAGCGTTGTTACCTCCCATAGGGCCATCCCTCCTCTGCTGTTGTGACCGAGGTGTCTGCATTAGTCCATACCCTCCACCGTAACTACAACAACACACTTATCATATTTCATGCCACATACCAACACCAACCTGTGATCCTGCTGGGGTGGTACCGCTGTCGGGGGCGGCCCCATGCTTTGGAACTGCTCAAAGACTCAAATTCTACCCATACCACCAACCAGCTACCTCGTAGGGGACATCCCACTGTGTTTGACCCGTTCGGGAATTATGATAATAATACCGCCCATCCGACTGACTTAAATACCTTCATAGAAAATTTCCGATAATGAAGTTTCACGACCGTGATGCGGAAAACATATTTCACATTTCACTTCGCGAAAAACGGGTGTAACTCCAAAATACTAATAAATATAAAGTATTGCCAATACAAAATATATACTATACCTTATCGAACTATACCATGGAGTAAAAGCACAAACATAAATACTAAATTGAAGAGAACTAATATCGGACCTCCTGTAGAAGCTACCGAAAAGGGTCCCCAGCGTTTCCAGGTCGAATTATTTCTTCACCACAAATTTAAATTTTCCCATTTTTCCCATTTTCGTTAACATTTTACCCACAGGAAATACCTAAGAGATTAATTTTGTCGGTAAGAAATTAGTTTGGCTTGAAAATGTTGTACCGATAAAATGAGTTCATTTCAGATCAGTGACAGCAGCATCAAAAACACGACTCTCCCATCCCCTTGTAATACTACTCTGTCCAATCTCCCGCTTGTCTAGGTTGGGCCGCTGCTGTTGGTACCGGCTGAATAACGAGCGGTGACACTTGAGTGGTGACACCGGTGCTCACCGTAATTCGCTGACCGTAACCCCCGGTCGACGTTGGTCCAGGGCCGTAGCCACTATCATTGGAGAACCGATTGGAAGGCTGCTGCTGCTGTGAGCGCGGCACGTCCATATCCTGTCTATGCGCGTCCCTGAATGCATAATCGTCCGTCTCTGCGGGGAAAAAATTCACATTCTCGTAGAAGTAGCATTAAAAATAGTTAGAGTACGGTCGAACGATTATGCGGAATGTAGTGCATGGAATCAAGGGTTAAAAAAACTTCGCTCCGCTCATCACCTTTGTTCTCGCGTCTCCGCACATTTTACTGCTACCGGGCGGTCATTATTGGGGAAGGTGAACTTCTCATTCAATGCATCGATTGCCCGAAGGCCGTCTGATTTCTTCGAGAACCTACGACCCGGGTTCGAACCCCAGCGGGTCCATTTTTACTCCATGATTATCACCTCACAAACGCAGCTCTATTTCCTCCTGGCCGTCTCGGCTGAATACAGTAGGCTTCTGTCACCGTACCATATCTGAATACCATAACATTCCCATCACTAAACCGGTTCATGAATACGACGACGTACTGACTAAAAACTCGCTTCAGCTCGGCATCGTCAACATCAGCGGGCACCTGAAATGAGTTTTCCTCGAAAAATAAAAATCGAATTTAATCATTGCTAAACTGGTATTTAAATTTTCCAATGTGAAGTGATCGAAATTTGAAACTATTTTGTGGACGAGAGAAACTCTGCAGTGACTTGCGAGTAATATCTTAAGGTCGAGCTAGAAAGATACAAAGTAGGTCCAGATCAGGTACTGGTCTACCACGCATGGAATCATCCAGGAACCTTTAATATTCCCCCGGGGGGTAGGGAACTCATTTTGAATCTTCCACGTATGGCTAGTAACACATTCTTCAACCAGTTTCCCATGTAAATGTCATCATCACATTAGGAACGTTTTCCCCGTTGTTATCAAACCCTGGGGGGACGTTATGTCTCGAAATTACATGGGTCCATGTGCACTATCACAAATAGCAAGCCCTTTCCCCATAACGTTTATCAACATCTACGCCCACGAGGATTTACATTCTCCAGTAGTATTACATTTGCTACGAAGAGCTTCTGGGCAACTCCCTCGGTATCATCGGCCAGCCCCAGTCGCTCCGGCTCACCGTTAGCATACTGGATTTGGAGAGGGCCGGCGTTCTGAAGAGAACGAGAACATAATGTCGGTCGAGGGATTTGAACCTCAGGTCAGTGGTGTGATAGCGTGGCGTTTTACCATTAGCCCACTATTACCTCGTTCACAGTCTGCTTCCCGGCCATGCCCTGTATGGCTGCTGCCGCCTCCTGTATCGCTCCGTACTTCACAAAAGCACACCCTAAGGGATAGCATAGTAAAACTATACCCCAGGAAAATTGATGGAGTTCCATCCTAGCGATATGAAAAATACTAGTGAAAAATCTATTTTACGACTACTGCGATTTTCATAGAGTATTACGCCACTTCACGTAAAACGGGTCGTGAAGCTCCAATATATACTTATATATACTTATGTATACAATATATACTATATAAGATCATCCTGGAGGACGTAGGCTATTGCTGAGCGCCAAGAACTTACCATATTTCTGTCCCTTGCCAGGGTTAGTCTTCGGTCGGATTATGCTAACCTCCTCAACGTCACCATAACTGAATATAGAACAACACCAGTCATCCCTGCATCAGCTGCACCAATTCTACTACTACGAACAACTCCGTCAACTTAGAAGAGGTTACAAACATAAACAACTATTTCACCACGAAAACCAATCCACTGGCTCTAGTACTGGCCTTATGCAAAAAGGCAGTATCAGCGTTCACTGGTTTTGTTCGTGTACCGCGAGGGGGATCTTCTGCGCCTCTCGTGGCAACTCCATCTGTACTATCCTATTAACATGATATTACTATTATACATTCATTTTAGTTACATTTTCATAGCTCTCTATATGTTGGTGCATCTGTCTATACTTTTTTATGTGAACAAACCGACAAAGTGACCGAAATAGGCCACTACGAGACTTCTGGAAGGCTGATATTCCGCAAATTCTCTCTCACAAGTGAAAATGAATCCGTACAAAAGGATTGTCATTATACCATAAACTAGTTCCCTGTAACGACTGAGACCTTCCCGTTACTACGGTCCGAATAGACTCCGCACTTCCTCCTCATCCCAATCACACGGCAGCTTCCCTACGAACAACTTGACGGGTATGCGGACCTCGGACATTGAAGATAAGAAGGCGGCTCGAGAGAACTGTCCAGAACGCTCTAGCGAAAGACACGCATTCGAGCTTGACGAGGGAATTCCTTGAAGGGAACTCGGCCATGGCCGATATTGTTTCACAATTCACTCCTCCATATTGTACGGAGTGAATCGTGAAACTTTTGCATAACAGCATTGCAGTGCAGAGATAGTTAATGAACAAAACACGAAAGTGCTATGGACTAAACTCAAGCGACCGCGGATGACTTGAAGCTTCGTTGCACACATGGGATCACCTACGTGTGAAAATTTCTTCTGATAAAAAATCCTATGTGGTTGGGAAGGACGGATGAGAGGAGAGGAGAAGTCGGTGGATGGAGACTCAAGCAGGTGAAGTGATTGGCAACAGACATCATTGGGAGATGTTTTTGGTTGGTTGTTGACAAAAATGAGTACCCACTAGACAGGCCTAGGCTCTTTATGTGGCAGAGTTGAAGTCGTAGCCAGTATGTAGCGAATTCACTTACAGTACATTATACATCATTTGCAATAAAATAAATGCTCCGTGTAACGAACCTGGATCGCTTCATAGGCATCCCACCATTCTCTCCAACTAAACCATTACATCGATAGAATCGATGTACGTGAGAAATTCTGAGGTGGGACAAGTTATCAAGAATTACTGCGGTTCAATGTTGTTGTGCCAGTGGCTCGACCATTGTGCCACATTGTTTCCTTGTCCCCCAATTTTCGGTCCGAACACAATTGTCCCTGCGTGCTAAGGTGCTGCAAAGCTAGAGCTAGTAGTAGCTCATACGTAGTTTGTAATCACAGTTATAAGTTGTAACGTAACGTATTCCGATACGTTCTACTCTATTGTACGTCCGCTCTCGTACAAGGTTATCTCTGCTCACTTGTCGTGTATTGAGTTCCATTATTAGGAGGTTACTATCCCTACATAATTTGGTAGCAGCTCCTTGTTCTATTCGACAACTTTTACTCGAACGACATTTGCTTGGTTATGGCTGGTGACAACGTTAACAACAATTCCGATACTGATCATGATGGTACTATTCCCCGTGACGAGGTGGATCCTCCTGTGGTGAACATTAATGCACCTTCGGCTACTTCGAGTACTAATAATGATGCTATGATCAACGTGGCTAGTACAGGTCCATCGGCACAGACCGGTGCGACGACATCAACATCAACGACTAATAACTTTAGCGCCATGCCTAACATCCAGACGACTTCTTCAACAAGCTCTCCGGTTGTAGTATCTACGGCTTCTAGTGAGTCTATTCTTCCTGCTAGGACGAAGCGACTCTTTGTGCCCGTTCCTGAGAAGTTTGCTAATAAGCCAACGGACAATATACGTGACTGGTTTGAAGCTTATGAGCTCTATACCTACGGTAATCTCTATGATGATCGTGCTCGTGCCCGTTTTCTGGGTGCATTCCTTACTGGTGACTCTGCTAATGTTTGGAAGACTCAGTGCTCTAAGGTTAATTACGAAGCTGACAAGGCAATTCTCATTAAGACTTTTGAGAAGTGTCGATTGCCTGATGAAGCTTGGAGTCGGTTTGATAACTACCAGTGGGATCGCATCCAACCATTGTCGGTTTATGCAGCTGCCCTGTCACGATACTTGAACGAGTACAACGACTTGCTGAAGCCTGATTGTCGACTTTCACTACCTGCCAGAGAGACTCTTTTGGTTGAGAAGTTATCTAAGTTGGCTACAGGCGCGGCGAAGGCTGAGATTCGTCGGGCCCGTCCTCGGAGTGCTGCCGATGTTTGTGACCTTTTGGGTGCCTACGTTGACAACAGTGATCAGACTGGTATTAATGCTGTCCGTTCTATAGAACCTAAGTTAGATGCCAGCATTGAGATGTTATCCAAGCTACTTGGTGCCTTTGAGGGTGCCCAGTCGCGACAAGTTGAGCAGTTTGATCGACTTTGCGCCGTTTTGGGTAATCCACAGCCAAAAGGCCAACCTAATGGACAAGCAGTACAAAATGGTCAACAACGACGACGAGGTGTTCGTAGATGTGGTATTTGTTCTGGCCCTCATCTAACTCTGGAGTGCTTCCACAAGAAGTTTACTGTTGGTTGTGCTATTTGTGGGAACACTGAGCACTTCGCCCGTAATTGCCCGTTGCGTACTACCTTCTTGGCTGGTCTTCAAGGTAATCCGCCTTCCCCGCCGGGAAACTAATTCGACGACCGGATTGCGGCTCCCGGTCGTCGGCACCGATATCTTTCTGTACTTTTGGCGAGTCTAATGGTCCTTTTATTTTTGCCCGTGTGAATGCTGGAGATGCCTGTTCTCCCGTTATCAGGGCTCTGATTGACTCTGGTGCTCGTATTACGGTTGTTCCTAAAAGGAATCTACCTAAGGGTACTCGACTGCAACCTGTACTTACTCATGCCGGCTCCGCAGATCCCGGCAATCCTATTCTGCTATTGGGCTCTGCCATTGTAAGATTAACCTTGTATGATTCGCCTAATGTAGGCAATGGTAGTAACGTTTACTCCGACTTCGTGCCGCGGGCCGGTAGTAACTGTGTAAGTTTTGAATTTAAGGTTTATGTGGTAGAAGATTTAATTTGTGATATGTTGTTGGGCTTCGACTTCCTTTGGCATTATGGTTTGTCCTTACAGATGGTTGAAGGTTATGTCCGTTTGGTTGGTACTCGTGACCCTCTGGTGGGTCGGTATCGTGAACCTCTACCGGAACCTGATGCAAGGAGTGTGA